GGCCAGTGGAGTTTAAGGGGCTCTGGGAGGGTCCAGAAAGGGCTGCAAACTGCAAGTCTATGGAAGTGATTTTTTTTTTGGCCAGCATGATGCTTTAGAATGGAATTTGAATGCTTTTCTCCAATTTCCCAATCCTCAACATTTTCCACAGTCTTGTCTCCTGTTCTTTCTCTTGCTGCTTCTTCAGTCCTTATATGTTCCCCTGGCCACTGACTATTTTACCAAGACTTTGCCCATTCACATTGTACTGCCCATTCATGTCCTGTAGGTCTCTCTCATTTACTTTTTGCCAAGTCTTATTCCTAGAACACTTGACATGTGATGAAAAAAAGGATTTAACAATTTGGAAGATCATGAATACTAAAATCATTTTTTAGAGATTTACAACATACCTTTGCACAGAAATGCCACTGATAAGTCGTTGTTGTTGTTAGGTGCCATCAAGTCAGTTTTGACTCATAGCCACCCTATGTACAACAGAATGAAACGCTGCCCGGTCCTGCGCCATCCTCACAATCATTGCTATGTTTGAGCCCATCACTGCAGCCACTGTGTCAATCCATTTCGTTGAGGGTCTTCCTCTTTTTCACAAGCCCTCTACTTTACTAAACATGATGTTCTTCTCCAGGGACTGGTCCCTCCTGATAACATGTCCAAAGTACGTGAGATGAAGTCTCACCATCCTCACTTCTGAGGAACATTCTGGCTGTACGTCTTCCAAGACAGATTTGTTCATTCTTCTGGCAGTTCGTAGTATATTCAATATTCTTTACCAACACCATAATTCAAAGGCATCAATTCTTCTTCAATCTTCCCTATTCATTGTTCAGCTTTTGCATGCATATGAGGCACTGAAAATACCATAGTTAGGATCAAGTGTACCTTAGTCCTCCATGTTACATCTTTGCTTTTTAACACCTTAGAGAGGTCTTTTGCAGAAGATTTGCCCAATGCAATACATCATTTAATTTCTTGACTGCTGCTTCCATGGGCATTGATTGTAGATTCAAGTAAAATGAAATCCTTGACAACTTCAATCTTTTCTCCACTTATCATGATGTTGCTTATTGGTCCAGTTGTGAGGATTTTTGTCTTCTTTATATTGAGGTATAATCCATACTAGTCTTTGAACTTCATTAGTAAGTGCTTGAAGTCCTCTTCACTTTCAGCAAGTCTACTGATAAGATCTGCATTTAAAAAAGCAAACAAATTTATGTTTAACACATTTCCCAAGCTACTTTGACTATGGGACCATCTCTTTTCTTAAATGAATATTGAGAGACATCTAGAACTGCCATCTTCAAAGTGTGGTCTGAGAACCTAAGCATCTCTGAGATCTTTAAAGGGGCTCTGTGAAGTCAAAACTATTTCATAGTAATACTAAGACACCCTTTTTCTTTTTTATTCTCGGTCTTTCATAAGTAGAATCCAGTAGAGTTTCCTAGAAGCTACATAATGTATGATACTGTAACAATTAAACACAGAAGTGGATATGAGGATCTATTAAACCAGACATTAAAAAGATTTGAGAAAATATACATCAGTGCTATTCTTCTCACTACTTTTTTGTGTTGTTTTGAAAAATTTGGTCATTTTTAGTAAAATTGTATTATGTTAACATGCAAAAAATTTCTGTTTGGAGTTCTAATATGGCAAATATTAGTAAATATAATCCCAATAAACAAAGGCTCTTTGGAGTTCTCAACAATTTTTGAGAGTGTAAAGGGATCCTGAGACAAAAAGTTTGAAAACTCCTGATCTAGCAGAATTAACAGTAGTGGACAACTATTATTATTATCATAGGAATTTAAACGTACTATGGGAAGACAATCTGCATTAGCAGAGCAGAGATGGCCTTCTGAAGAAGTGACATTCAAGCTGAGAAAGGAAAGGTAAGTCTGAGAGTTAGCCAGGTGAGCCTGGAGAAAGGAATTACGCACACCTATAGACAACATTTAAAGAGGGGAGTGCCCTGAGCTGACATAGAAAAGGAGTCTTGAGCCAGATCGTAAAGAACCATTTGAAGTTTTTACCTTAAGAGTTTTGATGGTATTCCAATAACATTTAGATACCATTAAACAATTGTAAGTAGGGGAATGATATATTTTTTTACTTTTAAAATGATACCCTGATGGGTGTATAAAGAACTGTTTAGGGGAGAGCAAGACTGGAGGCAGTGGGACCAGTTAGGAGAATGTCAAAGTTAATTCAGGTGAGAAACAGTGTGGCTTGGACTGAGAGAGTGGCAGAGGCTCTGAGGACTCCACTCATTTTTTATTCAACAAATATTTACTGTGCACCTCCTATGTAGTAGGCTTCGTTCTAGGAAATAAGGATATAGAGGTGAATAATGCAGATGAAGTCCTTGAACATATAGAGATTATACTGACAAATGAAGAAATAAATAGGAAGATACATTACCTTTCACAGAGCAATAAGTAGACTGACAGTGGAGGTTCCAGTGGAGCCTATGGAAGACAGGATACAATGGGATGACATCTTTAGAGTACTGAAGGAAAACAAATGCCCAGCAGTAGGCATGAAACTACTGGGCCAGACATACGCGAACACGAGTCAGAGATTTGAGGGAACTTCTTGTTACCTGAGGGTCAAGATGTCAGGAAATTGAAAAAAAGCTTATAAAACGTTGTATAAAACCTCCTTAAAAAGAGTGGAAGGGACTACAGTCGAGTCATTGTGGGTTTAGCTGCTGTTATGAAATTAAACTGTGTTCCCCCCCAACCCCAAATATGTGTTAGAATTCTAATCCCTATACCTGCGAATCTGTCTTGGAAGAAGTACAGTCAGAAGGCTCCTTAGAAGTGAGGATGGTGAGACTTCATCTCACATACTTTGGACATGTTATCAGGAGGGACCAGTCCTTGGAGAAAGACATCATGCTGGGTAAAGTCGAGGGTCTACGAAAGAGAGGAAGACACTCAACAAGATGGATTGACACAGTGGTTGCAGTGATGGGCTCAAGCATAGCAACATTTATGAGGATGGCGTAGGACTGGGCAATGTTTCATTCTGTTGTACACAGGGTTGCTATGAGTCAGAACTGACTCGAAGACACCTAACAGCAACAACAACAACAGCATACTTGTGAATGTAATACAGTTTGGGAATAGGATCTTCTTTGTTATGTTAACGAGGCCATATAAGTGCAGGGTGCATCCTAAACCTAATCACTTATGAGTTATAAAAAGAGCATAATAGACACAGAAGTAAGCACAAAGGGGACTGCTAAAGAACCAAGGAACACTGAGGTTACAGCAGCTGAAAGAGACAAGGATCTTCCCCTAGAGAAGACAGAGACAAAGAGAGTCTTCTCCTAGAGCCGGGGCCCTGAATTTTGACTTCTATCTTCCGGAAACGGAAGAAAATAAATTTTTCTTCTTTAAAGACACTCACTTGGGGTATTTGTGTTACCTCAGCACTAGTTAAGTCAGTTGCTATAACACATTTTAAAAATCTTTGCTCTTAATAGAGATTTATAAAAGGGATGAAATATAGAACTGTTTTCTGAATAAAGGGTGACAAAAAACGCCGCCCACTTCCTGAAGTTAATAAACAGATGAAAAGTAGGAAAGATGTGCAAGGACTACATGGGATAGATTTGTGTGGTTTCTATGTTGAAGTTTGGGGATTTTTTTTTTCTTTCACTATCAAACTTGATATATGTACACATATAAATGCTGAAAGCATTTTTAAACCCGAACAAAGCATTTCATTTGTATATGTGCTTTTTTTATTCAACCTGGTTGTCTTTGTCCACACGTGCTGAGGTCTAAGTGTTCAATTTACAGTGTGAGGTTTAATAACTCAGAGATGTACCATTTGTGCTAAATTTTCCCTATAAAAGTGCTCATTAGAGCACTGTGCGGAGAAAGGATGCAAAACAAAAAAGTACTGATAAAAAAAAGTGGAAATATCCCGTTTTAAGGTGTTTGAATTGACCAGTACCCCCCCTCCTTCCCTCTGAAGATGTATCCAAATTTGTGAGCAGTGTTAATATTTCCATTTTCACACCAAGGGGCACAATTCTGAACAGAAGTTTTACTTTGAACTTCATTAGTAAGTGCTTGAAGTCCTCTTCACTTTCAGCAAGTCTAGGAGAGTTTGCTTTAGCAAAGAAGCTGACATTTAAGTACATGTTTAGCCGTGTGTGACTTCCCTCTCTCCTGACTGATGTCCCTGTGAGCCCTCCTGGGTTGCCTGCTTCTGGGGTGCATACTCCTCCTCTTTCTCTGCACCATTTTCTCTTTAAAGTCAGAGGTGGTGTCCATAGGCTCTATGCCGCCACAGTCAAAACCTAACGCATTCAAAGCCGCTTGAGAGTGCAGAAACAGGGATTTGGGAAGGGGGTATGGAACTTTCTATGTCTGCCAAAATATATAATTCAGAACCTGTATTGGGGACCATGATAGAAGTCAAATCCTCAGGACTCCTGAGGATACTCCTGGCGGAATTTTTTTTTTTTTTTTTTTTTTTTGCGGGGCGGGGTAGGGGCGAGAAGGGTCGAATAGGAAGGACTTAGAGACCCTCAAGTTCAATTTTCTTAATCCTACCAAGGCAGGGATGGAAACTACCCAGCAAGGAATGTCCATGATGTAACCGTTATCCTTTACCCTGGGCTGCATCTTTCCCAGCCCATCTCTTAGACTTTTGGAGGGCCCCTGAGGATGGGCAAGAGGAGTTTGGAACCTCTGGAGCAACCCATACTCTCCTCCTCTGAGCAGCTGGGTAGGCAGGAGGCCTTTCAGTGAGAGTGAGAAAGAGAGGGAGGGAGAAAGGAAGGAAGGGGAGCTAGAGGTAGGAGTGGAAGAGGCAGCCTGGCCTGGGGCTGATTGGCTCCCGAACCCCAGCCCTCTCGAAGCTGGTTATAAGAGTTGGGGTGGCCGGGCGCGCAACGGCTTGCCAGCGCGCCCCTTGAGTCGGCGCCCGGCACTCAAGGCCCCGCCTAGTCGAGCTCCAGCTCAGCTGCGGTCTTTGGAGTTTGCAGCCCCCAGATCGAGAAAAGGAGGGAGCGCGAGAGGCACCAGAGCGCCGAGCGAGCGGGGCAGAGCGCCATGCGCCGCGCCAGCCGAGACTACATCAAGTACCTGCGCGGCTCTGAGGAGATGGGCAGCGGCGGCTCCGGCGCCCCGCATGAGGTCCCCCTACACGCCCCGCCACCGCCGCCACCCTCGTCGCACCCGCCCCCCGCCGCCTCCCGCTCCATGTTCGTCGCCCTCCTGGGGCTGGGGCTCGGCCAGGTCGTCTGCAGCGTCGCCCTGTTCCTCTACTTCAGAGCGCAGGTGAGTGCCCGCTTGCCCCGGTGCGCGCGGTCGGGCGCACCGCCCTCGCAGCTAGGGGAAACTGTGTAGCCGCCGAGCTCGGCTCCCCAGACCCACGGAATTCAGGCCGGAGAAAGTGACTCTAAGGAAAGGAGAGTTCCTTTGGGGAGAACTGGGCGCGGGGCTGCGCAGGGCTGCGCGCCGGGACACGGGGCGCGCTCGCCTCTCCCGTCGCGCACGCACTCCTGCACCGCAGCGCGCTGAACCTGGAATGCCCTTGCCTGGCTAGTTTGAATTTCCCCGGTGAGACGGCATTGGCCGCTCACCTTTTACAAGGGTTTGCAAACTTTTTTCGTCCTTTCATTTCTTACTTGGAGATAAGAACCAGCTCCATGAGTAGCAATCGACTCAGCGGCAACTGATTTGGTTTGGTTTTGGTTTAACGTCTATTTAGGAAACAAACAAACACAAAACACCTTCGCTTAATCTTCGACCCTTCCCCTTCCCGCCCACCACGCAGGGGATTTCGGTTTCTGGGCTGGCTGCTCTTCAAGTCTCTTCTGGGCCACAGCGCTTGAGGTGCAGCGGCTTCTGGAGCGCGCAGTGCGGAAGGTGGTGATGCGTGTGGTGCCTGCAGCGGTCGGGGGAGCGGGTGGCTATGTCCAAGTTGCCTGATGGGCCGAATGGCGCAGCGCGATTGGAGAAGCCCGGTCGCGGGGCACGGGGCTAGTTGCTGCTGCTGCGTGGTCCTCTGGGACTCCGCTGGCGTCGAGGGTGAAGGAGGCAAGGAGGTGGGCGGAGGTGGTGGTAGTGGGGTGTGTTTGGGAGATAGTGGTGAAGTTCTGTCTCCTAGGGCAGCCTCGCTACAGTCTAGCGTATAACTAGTCTTTTATAAGATGAGGCAGGCCTACATGAAGGCTCAAAACTGCAGGAAGATAGTAGAAAGGAAGGGGTAAATTTGTAATATTATGCTTTCTGGTGGTTTATGCCCTTGTGTTTTCTTGGAAATTGCAGTGCCGTTGGTTGGATTCATTCAAATAATCTTGTCTGGTGCTGTGAACTCTTTCTCAGAGGAAGTGGGGGGCTGACTGTGCATTTTTTTTTATGGGAAAAGAAAGAGAGTTGGGTTTGGACTTCATTTGTTTTTAGACTCATAGGTGATTACTTAACCAAACTGGAAACACCAAAACGTGGCATTGCTTGGGTTGTCTAGGTTTTTGGCATGTGCCAGCGTCTTGAACGCCACTGCTTTTAATCATAGGATTTTTGTTAAATATTCATTATCCTCTAGTTTGCTTTTTGTAGAACTGTTTTGATTATCTATTAAAACAAAGGTAGAAATGCTATGAGCAGTACTTCAGAAAATTAATATTTGCATATTAATAAGAAATGATTTTTACCTGTTGGGGAAATATTTTCTTTCCTAGAAAGACAACTTTTGAATGGTTGACTTGCAACATAGATTATGCAAATATATATGAAAGTGATGAAATATTTTCCTTCCATTGGCATATGTTGCAGTCAAGACTGAGTGGTTTATTGATTTTCCCATCCAGCGTGTTGTTCTTCCTCCTTATTTTGCTGGGGTTTTGTTAGGTGCTATTGAGTCGATTTCGACTCATAGTGACCCCACGTGACAGAGTAGAACTTCTCCATAGGGTTTTCTTGGCATAATCTTTACCAAAGCAGATCAAAAGGTATTTCTCCCATGAAGCTCTGGGTGGGTTCCAACGGCTAACCTTTTGGTTAACAGCCAAGTGCTTATCAGCTGTCCCACCAGGGCCCCTTCCTGCCTATTTAATGCTTGTGTATTAAGTGCCTCCTACGCATGACACTATTAAATGCTATGGGATATGAGTAAGAATAATTTATTCAACATACATCGTGTACCTACGATGTGCATGGCATGGTTCCGGGTAATGAAGGAGCATATCAAAATGCTTTACAGGGTTCTATCAGGGGCCTTCAACAAAAGACTCTTAAAATCCTTTAATCAAAAAGAACTCGGCATTCAGAAAAGGGCAAGAAAGTGCAATAGTTCTCCACCTTTTGTCTTCTCCAACACCTTAGGGATATGACGTTTTCATAGCAGTAGTGATGAAGTGAGTATTCAGTGTTGAAAAAGTAGGAGGGAATGGGAGAGTTCTAGGGACCCTGTGCAGTGTAGTGTAGCTTGGCAGGATCCATGGAATTGGTGTGGCCCTACAGGCAAGAGTGACCTGCTGAGCTCTTATTAAAGTTGCTCAGCTTTCCTGTAGGAATTCTCAATATTAATGGTCTGGAGGACAGCAAGGTTTGGCCTTTTGGTGATCACTTATAATTTATCTGTTGCATTAAAGTCAAGAGGTCTTGATAATACATGGATAATAGGGAAACTCTCAAAGCCTTTTTCTAAAGTCAGCCTGTAAGTTAGTAAGCCTTGCTGGGAAATTCTCATTTGGAGAGCTTAATGTCATTGGATTTCTGGATACAATTTTCCTAAATGCTGTGAAGATTGGATTCTCTAAGACTTATGTAGAATATTTGAATCATTACTCTGTCTGAACACAATTTTGTACTGCATTTTTAAAAGGTCATCTCCTTCAGTGAAGAAGTAATATTAGGACTGATGTGTTCATGTGAGTATACCACTAAGTCTGGTTGCGTTTTACCAGCTGTTGTATCTATGCTTGAGACCTAAAATCGTCACAGCCATTTAGAGATACGTTCTGAAATACTTACAAATGAAAGATAATAGTGTCTGGAGTTCGTTTCAAAATAATTGGTGGGGAGAGTAGGGGCTAGGGAAGTGGTTAGGTAATAGAGGAAACAAGACTGGCCATGAGTTAGTCATTGTTAAAGCTGGGTGATCAGTATATGCAGGTTGACTCTAGTAGTCTTTCCACTTTTATGTATATCTGAGGCCTTCTTTTAATGTTCGAGCTAAGAGAATAGACTCAATTTGACCTGTCACTGATTTTACATTTTCTTTGATATCAGTTCCTTGTGGATCAACTACTTGGAGTTACTGACTGCATTTGAATGAGAATGAAAATCATCTAGTATCAGGTAACATGTTTGCAGTTTACAGTAAAGAAAAAGGAGAAAAAGGAGCCAGTTTTATTGTTTTTGATTAAAGGCGGAGGTAAGAAGCTATTCCAGTCTTCAAGAAACAAGCAGTTTAAGTGCATAAAGAAGAATGCCCAGCAGACTGTAAAAATAGCAGTGATTATTACTTTTTTTCATTTCTCCTTCCTCAACTCATGTTTGAAGAGTTAAAAATGAATCAGCCTCTGGAGTGTTTGCAGCTTGCCGGTGCCTAGATGAAAAAAAAAATCTACCAGATTCAGTGTAGATTGGCTTTTCCCCACCAGCCCACCAAAGAGAAAATAGCATGTGGCTTGTGCTGTATATTTACCACATAGTATTCATACTTCGGTTTACAAAGAAAAAAAAAAAAAAACCCTTCCAAAAAGTTGCTTGTAAAATTTGTGTGTGTGTGTGTGTGTGTATGTGTGTGTGTGTGTGTGTGTGTAACATCTGTAGAACCATATTCAAAGCTGAGAGTTTAGCTACAAGATAAGCTTTTCAGAAACCTTGAGTTCTTTTGTTCTTTCAACTCCTTCCCCCAGTCTCCCCCTGCGTGCACACTAACCTTGAGGCTGTTACCCAGGGGAGCAGCAACGACTGACAATCTGATGAAGAGGTGTGCAGGCTGCCTGTTTGAAAACACAGATAACGAAGCAGCACAAATGTAAAGCATCCTGCCTCACTTGATTAAGTTTCAAGGAAGTTAAAAAAAAAAACCACACCAAACTGAGTTCATTTTATATGAACTGTATTGTCTGATAAATGCACTTTGAAAGTTCATTTTCAATCTGATATTCAAGATTTATGTTTTCAGAAATTTCTTGATACAATGAATTCCTTTATAACTCAGTTTTCTGTGATTTTCTGATGACTATCTGGCTTCCTAAGTGGAGTATAAGTTCCATGAAAGTAGAGACTGCCCGCATCGCCCACTACCTCATTCAAATCACGTAGCCCAGGTCCTCGCGTGTTTAATTTACTGAAAATGTTTTTCAAATTTGCAACCTTATGCATATGTCAGTTTCTAATTTGTAGCAGGAAATAATCTAATAAGATGTCAAAATAGATAAAAATATAAATTTTCGGTCATGTAAATCCTCTGTCCAGACTCCTGTGTGCCAAAGGATGGGTGGTTGGATAGAATCATTCGTTAGTTGCTCCATGAGCTTTTGAGCATACAGTACCATTCACACTCCCTGTTCTGAGGTCCTTCAACCTAGAGGCCAAGGAGGCGAAGTGCTAATTTACCTGTGCCTGGTTGGCCCTGCACCCGGGACCTTAGCTCTTCCCCTTTCTCCCAGTCTCCATTTTCCACAGAGAAGAGCTGCAAGGACACGGGAATGAGAAAGACATTTAATGCAGATTAAAAATGAATTTCTAATGTATGATCCTGAAGTAAACAAATGAGTATATCAAAAATAATCATGTCAGACTTGCAGGATTTCTTTCTTTTTTGTGTGCTTTAGATGAAGGTTTACAGAGCAAATTAGTTTCTCATTGAACAATTAATACACATAATGTTTTGTGACATTGGTTGCCAAGCCCACGATGTGTCAACACTCTCCCCTTCTTGACCTTGGGTTCCTCATTTCCGTTCATCCAGCTTTCCTGTCTCCTCCTGCCTTCTCGTCCTTGCCTCTGGGCTGGTGTGCCCATTTAGTCTTGTTTTGTTTTATGGGCCTGTCTAGTCTTTGGCTGAAGGGTGAACCTCAGGAGTGACTTCAGTAGTGAGTTAGAAGGTTGTCCGGGGGTCATTCTCTGGGAGTTTCCCCACTTTCTGTCAGACCAGTAAGTCTGGGTCTTTTTTTGTGAGTTTGAATTTTGTTCTCCATTTTTCTCCAGCTCTGTCCGGGACCCTCTCTTGTGATCCCTGTCAGAGCAGTCAGTGGTGGTAGCTGGGCACCATCTAGTTGTGCTGGACTCAGTCTGGTGGAGGCTGTGGTAGTTGTGGTCCATTAGTCCTTTGGACCAGTCTTTCCCTTGGGTCTTTCATTTTCTTCATTCTCTCTTGCTCCAGATGGGGTGAGACCAGTGGAGTATCTTAGATGGCCGGTTACAAGCTTTTAAGGCCCCAGACGCTGCTGACCAAAGTAGGATGTAGAACATTTTCTTGATAAACTGTTATGCCAGTTGAGCTAGATGTCCCCCAAGAGCATGGTCCCCAGCCCTCAGCCCAGCAATTCAGTCCCCCAGGGAGACATGATTTCTTTTGGGAAAACAATTGCTGAAGTTTTATGTATGTTTTAGTTCTAATGTTACCTTCCCAAACAGTGGCTCTCATTGCACACTAGAAGTACTCGGAGAGATAGACACCAAGTGGCTCCTGTCCGCAGAGATGCTGATTGAATTGTCCTGGGGTAGGGTCTGGGCATGGGCATTTTTTAAAAGAGAGAAGGGATAAACTCTTGGCATTACATTTACTTGCATCAAATCATGAACCATTAGTCACTGTTGTAACATTTGTACTAACTGGTGTTGCTTATAATAAAATTTTAAAATTGTCTCCAGTGAAATTTGGAGTCATTTTAATAGCAGAAAACCTATATTTGTATATTTGGCATTTTAAGGCATGATTTCTCAGACTTTTATGTGCATGTGAATCAGTTGGGATCTAGTTAACATGTAGATTTCCATGCAGTGCTCTGAGATGGGACCTGAGTGTTGCGTTTCTAAGCAGCTCCCTGGGCTAATGATGTGCCGGTCCCTGGACCACACTTTGAGAAGCAAAGGTATAGGGGACTACTGCTTCTGTTAGCCATTGCTTACCTTGTCAACAGGATTTGAACTTAACCAATTTTAGGGCCTGTAGGCACTCTCCAAGGACCTTGGTGGTGCAGTGGTTAAGCGCTCTGCTACTAACGAAAAGGTCGGCGGTTCGGACCCACCAGCCACTCCGCAGGAGAAAGATGTGGCAGTCTGCTTCTGTAAAGATTACATCCTTGGTAACTGTGGGGAGCAGTCGTATTCTGCCCTGTAAGGTCTCTATGAGTTGAAATCGTCTCAATGGCAATGGGTTTGATTGTTTTTTAGGCACTCTTCCCCAACTCTGCAGCGTTCCTTTAGCTCAGCAGTTTCGTGATGGTGAGCCAGCAGAGGCCCTTTCTATGGCTCTTATTTTCTGAGGTCTGAACCCCATGACCTTTATGTCCATTGTCCAGACTTTTCTGGTTTTGTGGGATCCTTATTGACAAACATATAAGTGGGCTTTTTTTGTTTGGTTAAGTATGTAATTGAAAGCTTTCTTCATACAAAAACTCGCATATTCTGATTTGTACTGATTATTTTAAAGAAAATATGAAAAATAAATATGGATTGCATTATACTTTTGCTTCGTGGATGGCATCTCTCCCATGATCATATTTTGTTAGCTGCTGTCGAGTCAGCCCCCGACTCATGGAAACCCACACGCACTGCAGAATGAAACCCTACCTGGTCCTGCACCATCCCCATGACTGGTTGCAGACTGGACCGTTGGGATGCATAGGGCTTTCACTGGCTGATTTTTGCAAGCAGATTACCAGTTCTTTTTTCCTAGTCCATCTTAGTCCGAAAGCTTCCCTGAAACCTGTTTAGCATCATAGCAACACACAAACCTCCACTGTCAGATGGGTGGTGGCTGCGTAGGAGGTGCATTGGCCAAGAACGGAACGTGGGTCTCTCACATGGATGGGGAGAATTTTACCACCGAACCACCAATGCCGCATGCTCTCACGATCGTAGATAATCCTTATATTTGCAAGACTGGAGTAACAAAATTCCTATTAGTGGATGCATGTTTGTTGGAAGGCCGTAATTTTGCTTTGGGAATTTCAGATACTGATGGGGAACTTTGCATTTTATTTCTGATGGCTGGTTGATAAACATGCACGTCTTTCTGATTACTGTTAAGAGATCATTAAACCAGGGACCGAGAGACGTGGTATTAGTTCTAACCGAGTTTTGGTTGTTTTAAACTTATTCATTTTCCTTTTTTCATACTAAATAAGCAAATACACATAAAGTACTTTGAATTTTTGAAAGCAGAAGACAATAAATTAAACTATTTTGATTAAAACAATTGATGGTTAATTATATCTACCCTTTTACTTGGTGGAATCCTTGGGTGGTACACACGGTTAACACCGAAGGTTGGAGGTTCGAGTTCACCCAGAGGTGCCTCAGAAGAAGGGTCTGGAGCTCTATTTTCAAAAAATCAGCCGTTGAAAACCTCATGGAGCACAGTTCTATATGGACGCACATGGGGTTGACATGAGTTGGAGTTGACTTGATGGCGGCTCTTTGGTGCTTTTACCTGGCACTGGAAATCACCACAGACACTTTGTCAGAGCCTGGAGGAGGAGCAGGCAGACCATTTAAAGAGAAGAGCAGTGCTTAGAAAATACTGGGCAAGTGCTCTAACCAGGCCATCTGCTAATAACACCATGGGGACGTTTTAGGTGGGACAATCCCTCACATTATAAGAATTTTAGCATCGTCCAGCACATGCAAGTATAGGCTGCTTACCCTATGTGGCCCTTGCCCTGTTGTCACCACCAGATGTCACCGGCACACATTCCCGGGCACCCCTGATAGACCACCATTCCAGTTGAGAAACAGTGGGTCAACAAAAGAGAGAGTGTGCTTCAGGTTTTGTTGGGAGCTAGGAAATGGATTCCTCTCTTCTCCGATTAAACTGTACAGTGATTAAGGGAGAAGGTCAGGCAAACAGTGGCTAAAGGTGATGTTAATTTCTCCAGCTATATATATATATATATATATAGGCTTCATGCTTTGTATATCCGAACGTCTAGTAAGTTGCATATGACTTGAAGACGAAACGCCTTCTTTGCCTGCACCCACGGTCTGTGAGTTCCCTGATGCCACTCCCTTCTAAGAAGACTTTCATATTGTCAGACGATTTTGCTAATTTCACCACGAATCACACAAGTACATTTCTGTTGTTGTTGAAAAGCCACCATAAAACTTGGCTTTATGTTGTGGAAGATAGTCAGCTGCTCATCAAAATGAATTAAAAGTCCATGTTTTCACCAACTTGAGGGTAATTATATTAACGATTAGTCATTGGGAGTCCTGGTTGTTTAATGGTTAAGCACTCGGCTGTTAACCAAAAGGTTGGCGGTTTGAACCCACCAGCCGCACTGCAGGAGAAGGATGAGGCAGTCTGCTTCCATAACGATTTACAGCCTTGGAAACCATACAGGGCAGTTCTACTGTGTCCTAGAGTGTCGCTGTGAGTTGGAGTTTGGCTCGATGGCAATGGGTTTTGGTATTAGCCATTGGGGAAATAAAGACTCTTGCAAAAATGAATTTTTCATTCTTAAGTCACACTTTATTAAATAGCAGAATGATTAATGATACCCACTCGAAGGTCCTTACTTTATTTTTTTTTTTCAGATGGATCCTAATAGAATATCAGAAGACGACACCGACTGCTTTAAGAGACTTTTCAAACTCCATGAAAATTCAGATATGCAAGACAGCGCTCTGGAGAGTCAAGACGCAAAATTAATCCCTGATTCGTGTAGGAGAATTAAACAGGCCTTTCAAGGAGCTGTGCAAAAGGTAAATGCTCAGGACTTGCTGCCTCTACCAATAGTGAAAATTAAAACAGGCTGAGTAACTATTGACTTTGTCCTTTTTTCTTATCATCTTAATAATTTGTAAAGGAGCTAAAGAGAATTTTTTAAATAGGACTAACAGGATTCTTTTGAAGTTGGTAATGGTTGATTATAGAGACCGGAGACGTTCATGCAAATATTCTTTTCTTTTTAAGAGGAGGGTTTTAAATTCATCCTTGGAAGGAGGACAAGGTGGTTTGTGGTTAGTCGACGGGTCCGTTTGCTAGTTGGAATTTACTGACCTAGAAACCATCCGCTCAGTTCACAGGACTTTCTGGTAGCGATTTCCTTTACATTTGGTTTTGTAATGGTATAATCCCTGAGTCCACATCTGTTGATCCAGGCTTTGATGAGAAGCAATTGTAACTGGTCCTTTGTTGTCATCTGTGGTGAGAAGGTAAGCAAGCAGAGCAGGAAATGACGTGGTGGGTGAGATGGAAATTCTGTGTCCAGTTTCTCGTTTTCCAGGAGAGCTGGGTGAGAAGGGAGGAGATGGGGACAGGGAAGACCAATGCCTTCACTTGCATCAGCAGCTTCAGTTGAGAAACACTGTGATAACTGGCCATTTTACTTGCCTGACAAAACCCACTCAGGACTCCTGCAGCTTTGGAATTACTTTACTTATTGACTCCACAGAAATTAGATAGAACCCGATAGTTACTCCAATGCACGCATACCTGCATGTGCATTGCATACCTGCATATACACTTTCATGCACTCATGCATTCACCTCTCCATCCCAGCCTCTCTTTTGCAGCTCCCTACTAATTGAGAAAGGCTGGCAGCCTGAACCCACCCAGAGGCACCTCGGAAGAAATGCCTGGAAATCTGCTTCCAAAAGGTCACAGGCATGAAAACCCTATGGAGCGGTTCTCCTCTGCAACCCCTGGGGTTGCCAAGAGTCAGAATTGACTGAATGGCAACTGGTTTTCTTTTTTCTTTTGGGAGCCTCTAGTCCTCTCAAAGTAAATTCTGAAGTTGTCAAAGCCCTTAAATCTAAATTGAATTTTAATTTAGTTTTTTTTTTTCATTTAAATCCACATATAGTAATAGCATTTTTTCCCAAAGAGGATGCAAGTTGGAGGTAGAGGTAGGTAGAAAAAGCTGTTTGTAAAGATAAATGTCTGTAACACGCATAACATTGAGATTTGATACATTTTATCAAATCTGAAATACCATCAACTTTCAGCTTTCGTCATTATTTCTTGCACTGTTAAGAAATAAAAAATGTTGATTGAAAACTTGAACATAGTCATCATAGATTCTAGTTTGCATCCCCGTTTTATAGATATAAAATGTAAAAAAATGTGCCTCATAGACTCAGTGAAGTACCTATTACTCTAATATCTATAAGAAAGCACGTTGTTTATGAAAATTACTTTTCATTATAATTAGTATGTATCTGACTTAGCTTTATGCAGTAGATGTATATTTTAAATGTGAGTTTACACTTAGTGATCTTTTTATCTTACATTGTAACTTCCGAGCGATAGCATTTCCGCTACTCTATCCATTTTCATTTGATATTTCGTTTTGTATTAATCTGCTTTTTACTCCATTTGTCAAGTTTATCTCTCAAACACTGAGTAACCTAGCTATAAACAACTATTAACATGCACTAGCAGTAATTTATACATATATATTATATCTATATATATGTGTCTATGTATGTATCAGAGCCCTGGTGGCATAGTGGTTAAAAACTTGGCTGCTAACCAAAAGGTCAGCAGTTCGAATCCACCAGCCGCTCCTTGGAAACCCTATGGGGCAATTCTACTATGTATGGGATAGAATCTGATAGGATTGCTATGAGTCAGAATAGACTCGATGGCAATAGGTTTGGTTTGGTTATATATATGTATACACACACGTACACATATATCTATATATATGTATATATGAACTCTTAGGATATATAACATTTGATAATCTTATTTTTTGACTTTTTATTTGGAAATCATTTCAAACTGACAGAAAGAAAAATTGCGTGAATAAAAACAATACAGAACGATTACTTAGTGGCCAATGTCTACTCTCCGGCAGCCTTGCAATGACCTCTGTTGCTTCTGTGTGCTTATCTGCCCCTACCTTCCCCGTCACAACTTCCCTGTTCATTGCCCCATTTCATTTGAGCTTTCTAAGTGACTGCCTAGATATTATGATAAACTCGTTGGTATTTAAATGTGTTAATGAGCAATAATGGCAGAATTTTCACTATTTTAGGAACCTTCTGGAAACATAGTGCCTTGTTCTAAATGAGTAACACTAATAGTGAGAGTCAGTGTCTGGCAAGCCAGAACAAGAAAGATTTGTGAGCAGGCAAAAATATGTATAAAAAAATCACCAAAAACCAGTTGCTTTTCAGTTGACTCCAACTCATGGCAACCCCATGTGTGTCAGAGTAGAATCGTGCTTCATAGGGTTTTTAATGGTTGATTTTTCTGAAGTAGATCACCAGGCCCTTCTTCTGAGGTGTCTCTTGGTGGACTTCAACCTCCAACCTTTTGGTTAGCAACCTGGCGTGTTAATTTTTTGCACCGCTCAGTCAACTGTTTTAACTAAAGGCAGACGGTGTTAATTATACTAAAAGATTATTATAACTCACGGGATGAGTAGAAGGTTATTAATTTCTCATTTGTTTTCATTGTGCTATATATTTTAGCTGTTACACATGAGTAATAATATTACGCACGGGTACTTTTTTTTTTAATAGGAATTTATGAAAATTACTCAAAAACAAAAATAAAAACCAAACCCATTGCCATCGCGGGGATTCTGACTGAAATAGGTTGCTTAGTCTTATATCCCACGAGCATCCCATCGATGCAGCTGTCTCTTAGTGGGAAAATGGGTGGTTGTTGCTGTCCTTATACAGCCTGCGTTTATCCAAATGTGAATTCCCAATCCTTTGACTCAGAACTCCTTGTTCCATCCACTGCAGCAAAAAGATGACCCTTCATACCTTTAAAAGGTTTCCACAGTTTGTACCCAAGCTGGTCATCCGCGGATACAAACGTGTACTGGAGCTAAAAAGAAAGCTTGTCCAGCCAAGTCAGTGACTCAGATCCTCCTTTTGACTTCCGGCTGTTTGTCTAATGTCTGTTTACCCATGGCCAGAGTTTAAGGCTCTTGAAGTACAATCTCTATATTCCCCAAACACCATTTATGGTGCCTCAGTTTATTAGACATTGACTTTTTTTTTTTAAAGAATAAGGAGCTGTCATAATATACCAGCGTGTGTTTAGGGGTAGAAGATGCCATTTCTTCCCCCTAGACAAGAGGATCTTTAGGAAGGAGATGAGCGTTATCCATTCCTTGTCATTAAACTCAACTAACAGCCTAGGAAACCCTATGGGGCAGCTCTACTCTGTCGTATGGAGTTGCTCTGAGTTGGAGCTGACTCCATGACGGCAGGTTTGGTTATTTTTGGCTTTATGTTGTGGGTCCTGTTCTAGGCACTTTGCCGTATCTTATCCCGTACCAAAGGATTTACTCTTCTCTTAGTCAAATAATATTCTGCTAGATGTGTCATCCTTTTACAAGGACTGTTGGCTAATGTGACATTCTACACATCTTGCCACAATAATCAGATCTCTCATTTCTCTTGCCACTGCTGAAAATAGTATGGGTGTATTAGGCTTTCATAAGTACCTTTGTATCTTAGTGATAGTTCTAATATATATATTGAGTGAACCCGTAAAACAAAATTACACGTGTTGCTGGAATCATTATTGAGAGAGCAACCCATCCAGTGGTAACAAATGCTAGACATAAGCACAGTATCACATTCTGTGTGTGCAAACAATGGTGTTTACCCAGCCAATCTTTGGTGAAACAAGTAATGCTGTTTTTCCCCCTTTTTTGTTTGTGGCAGGGTTTTCTTGGCTTGTTTTCCCCTTTAGCACAGAACTTTAAAAGTCTCTTAGCGATCCAGCCCTACCGACCACAATTTATAAAGTCTATCATAACAGTCTACGACAATAAAGAAAACACTAGCTTAAATATGGTGTCCAGTTTATAAAGTGATGCTTGTTTCCAGCTTTGGCAGGCCCCAGACTCTGCCAGTGTGGGGGGAGGGGAGGTGGAGGGGTGAGCTGGCCTGAGCAGGGGCCTGCCCTGCTCGACAGTGAGGCCACTCCAGGCCAGTCTTGGTGGGTGCCATCTGTTTATGCACCAAATATAGATTCTCGGTACGGTACTCGGAGCTGGAACTCTAACTTGGGAGCCATTGCACTTGATTTTAATATGCCTGGTTGTTGAGTCCACATTGGATACGTGTTTGTAAAAAACTTCCTGCAACTTAGTTTCAAAGATATTTGAAAGAATGGTCTGCAGAAGAGAGATCAATAGCACTCTGTATGGGATAGCCTTTAGTATTCCTCTTTAGCCAAAGGGCTTGTTTGGGAACCTAACGGGTCTGAAACCCGTTGCTCTCCAAAGTGGGATGTTCAGCACTTTCAATGATCCCTTGGGATGTGGGAACGAAGTATTGGGATTTATATGTATCTTTTTTAGTATCAGCTTTTAAAAGCATTTATGTTTTTGTGAATATTTTGTAATGTGTGTAATGTATTTATATAGGAGTGCTTCTATTTAATATTTAGATAAGTAAGCATGCAGATTTTGTGAACAGTCGAAATTTTTTCCCTGATAGAAGAATTGCACAGTCAGAAAGACTTAGAGATCATGGCAAGAAGCCGTAAGCTCCATCAGGACAAAGACTGTAGCCATTTTGCTTGCATTTGACTATATCACCCCTAATTCAGTCCCTGGATGGTGCAAACAGTAATGCACTTGGCTGCTAACTGAAAGACTGGCAGTTCGAGCCACCTAGGGGCACCTTGGAAGAAAGGCCTGGTGGTCTACTTCTGAAAAATCAGCCAATGAAAACTCTATGTATAAGGGAGGAAAAAATTTGGAAAAGGAGGGTGAGAATGGTTGCAT